GGTATAAGGGATGGGTGGGAGTGGAAAAGAAAAATCATAAAAAGTTCAAATTTAGCATATTGTTTAGGTTATCACATAAATTTGTTATCTAATCATTTCTTGATATTAATATATATTTAATCTCATACAAATGTATTATGGTGAAACATTACAGAATTCTCCCTGGGACCTAAGTATGTGTTCTATATGTGCTAGATCCAATGACCGGGAGTATTAAGGTTAAGAGCATAGAGGTCTCTACAATATGCGCTCTATAAATTGACCATTATTATAAAAGCAAACATACATTGTCACACATCTAAACCTAAAATAAAATATCCATACTTTTAGAAGGGGCTTTGGTTTCTGCGTGTGTTTTGCCTTGTCAAAATGAAAAATAGAAAGACTGGCCCAAACAAATATTTAAGGATAGAAAATTTGGTTTGTAATTGCAGAGTGTTCCTATTGAGAGTAACTACTGTGGACTCTCCTGACTTTCATTAATTAATTAATTAATGGAGATGCAGCAGGCATACCCCTATTGATATTAGAATAACCATAAAAGCTTGTTTCCAATAGGATGTCTTGGTGGTTAAGCCCCTTGCCTTATAATTTCACGGACCTAGGTTCAACTCATTCCAGTGCAAGATTTTTCATCACTTCAATTCTTTATAATGAGACTAATTTCAATACCTTTCCATATTTAGCATTTTTTAAATATTCTAATTTTAACAGGTACACCAGCTAGCAAAGAAACCAATGGAACCAAGAGTGGGTACTCCACTCAAGCGAAGACCACAGGGCGACACACCACTGTCGACTACAACACAAAACAGTACACAGGAGGTACGCTGGGTGAAGTCACAGTGCGTACCATCACCGAAGAAACCCGCACAGTTACAATGCCAACCCATAAGAGAACAACATATACACGAGGTGGCAAAACGAGCCAAAATTCAAAATCCCACCCAAAGTAGACGACCTTAATTATGAATTATTAAAGAAAAATCTCATATGAGATGAAAAATTAATTATTAATATTAACTGATTTAAAATCAGTATGATAAATTAATTTGTAAGTGTCACAATCAGTTTCAACAACTTAACACATGAATATTTTTTAATGAAATTATGTTCTTTTGAATTAAAAATGGGAAAGGATATTAATTGGCAATTGTCGCCATTATATATGTAGGTTTGTTTGTATATTTAGAATGAAAATGAAAAGTATTAATCAATACACTAACAATGTATTGATTTAAGTCAAGATATTGTAAATTTTTTTTTCTTGCTTCTGTCAAATGTACATGTGTAGATTTTCTGTAGAAAAACAAATGTATTGAATTTATTCTATGTTCCAGTACCTGCTAAATTCTAGGTATAAAATAATTTTTTACCTCATATCTTGCTGAAAAATAAATTCTTTAGTATCATGTATTTGGAAAAAAGATTGGTTATGACTGGATGCAATTAAAGGTGTTAATATTGTTTTTTTAAATAAAAATTCTTTTTTTAAATATGGTTCATTACCATACATGTTGATCATAGTATTGAGTTAACCAGAAAAAAAGTTTATAACTTGCCAGAGTATTCAATGTATTTCCAGTAAATTTGAAGAGTGCCAGATTAGATTTTATGCTTTCTGGCAACCTTAAATGTTAAAAATTTGTATTAAATGGAGTTTTAGAGTTTCTAACCAAAGTGCTCTTTTCAACATATGAATTTGGTTGCAGTTGAGGTATCTGCTAGTGGGGACTGTACAGATATCTATTTTGTATCCAATTTCAAACATTATAAAATGTTTTAATGCTTTAGGAGAGTTTGACTAAAAGTTGAGGTTTGAGTTTGTGTTCATGTTTTGATTTTTAAAGATTACTTTATAGAGTACATACAATTTAAGTTTTCTTTTGAATATGTTTGCTTCTCACTAATCTATAGCGTCATTTTCATATGCTTTAAAATTTCAATTTTGGGAAAAGTAAACAAATTCAGTTTTCAGAATTTTGTTTTATTTTTTGTTTCTGCTTTGAAATATTCATTTATAAGGCTTTTATTTACTCAACTTTTCGTCAGTAACAGCTTATTAAGTAGAAAATATATGCAAATATCTTTTTAATGTATTCATAGTATATAAACAGAACGGATTCACAGATTATGTTACTGATTTTCAAAGGTAACCACATTAAAATATATCAAGATCCAGGAAAGAAGTAAAATTGTTAATAGTGTCAATCAGAATCTACATAATGCTATATATGAGCACATTATAATATTAAAAGTCAATTCTTTCAATTTTTATTTTGGAGTATTCAAGATGTATTATCTATTATAGGAAATATATTAGTCGGCTAGAAATATATTGTTGGCTAGTTTACATACTTTTGCGTTTGTTATGTTGTTTATTTAGAAAAACCAAAGATTGGGTAATTTTTTTAGTTTGTTTTGGTATTTGGTTTAACTAATTTGTGTAATAATCCGTTTATTTGAAAAGAAATGCACTCACCGAAGTTTGATGTATTATTTTCTTTAGTTTTTTTTTATTTGACTAGATAAGCAAATGCTGGGTAAATAAAAGAAAGAATTTCAGCACTGTTATCTTCCATTCAAAGCGATCAGTTTAATTAGAAATTTTATGCAGATATCATCATGTGACCATTATAAGTGATTTAATTGGATAATCAATTGGTGTGATATTCATGTTTTCTAGTTTTGCTTTGTCTGTTTTTGGCGTGTTTAATTATTCACATAGCAAAGCTATTGAAGTTGAATAAACACTTTATTTTGCAGTAAAATAAATCTGTTTCAAACTTTTTTTGTCTTAATATTTAAAGTGTACTCTCCCCTCTTATTCAAACAACCACACAAAACAAACCTTTAATTGGAGACCGAACCTTTCAATGAAAGGTTTCTTTTTAGTTGTATGAAAGAGTGTCTAGCTAGATTCGAACCTGCAGCCTCTTGTTATCAAGGCGAGTATCATACCGTTAGACCATATATACCTGTGCGGTATAGTTGCAAATCTAATCACTAGGGCTAGGCACTCTCTTTCATTCAACTGACTTGAACGCTCGAGGGGTGTCCCTTTCAAAATTTCCATACTTGAAGTGCATTTAATGTTTTGGTAGTACTGTATATTATTGAACATGAAATAATTGATAACGCACGCATTACAAAGGCCGTTTGATTAAGTCCTACTGTAATTTTTTTTTTTTTTTCGTTTGTATTGAGTAAATTTTTTACGATCTGAAGAGGTTATGCGACCCATAAAAATGTTGCGGAACAGTGCCCCATTCCAACCAACACCATCATGGGTAGTTAATGAAATACAGAATTTTAAGGGAACACCAAATAATCACTGGCAAACTCATGCGGTACTGAACCTTTCCTAGCATTCGATCCTACTTTTGGGCTCCTTATCTATAATATAGGCTAAGACAAATTTTTTTACCCAGTTTTTTCTGAATAATTTTTTTTCTGCGGTACCGAAAATAGCAACCTAAAGCAGGTTTTAGTCTTAAATAATGAAAATAATATCTATAATAGGCATAGGCTAAGGTATATTTCTGGCACAATTCACAACTGCTAAATTCTAATACTGTAATGTTAAACAAGGTTATTTCAAACATGATAGGTCGCAATATAGAATTAGCAGCGGGAAAATGAATTGGCAAAAGCCTAGAGTATAAGTCCATGTAGACGATTTTTTACCCAGTTGGTTTCTGATTGGTATTTGTTCTGCAGCAATTCGGATGGCAAAATAACAGTTTTCAACCCAGTCCTTCAACTAAATAAAGATAACAGAACACATAAGCTGAGATTAATTATAATTTAATTATATTGACATATTAGGAAGCTTTCGATGTGTTCTGACCGGTTGAGCCGCCGACAAGTTGAGCCGCCAGTCATTTCTATGAAACGCCAAGCGCGTCTCTCAGTGAATGTAGTGCGTTAATTGCGGCGTATTTCAATTAACTTATTCGTTATTTGTACTATTTTGTTAAATATTTTTGGGGAGTATTTCAATTAATTTACTGGTTTTACTTTTTTATTAAATATTTTTGGGGCGTATTTCAATTTATTTACTCGTTCTTTCTATTGTTTTAATTTAAATTTTGTGAGTATTTGCTCAGTCGGCTTGCCAGATAGTAAAAAAAAAACTTCATACATTCTTATCATTTATTATATGTAAGTTTAACAAATAGTACAAAAATAGAAATATATAAATTACAAAACCATAGTAAATACTGTATAATAACATAGGCCTAACACATATAAATGTATTCTTTATAGTCATCTGTCTATTTAAAATCAAATTGGTCAAATATAAATTTAATTATCAATTCAATACAACTTGCACATCATTTTCAATTACACAACTTATGCATTTTTATAAATGTTTCCGAAAAACGAAAACCAAACGTAACAAACACATTAAAGAAATAATACACTTTAAATATATTTATTTAAACTTTACAAGTTACACATTATGTTATTGTTTTATAAACTGGCTGACTTACATCACGAACGGCAATACGAGCAAATCAAAATGATGTGCAAGTTGTATTGAATTGATAATTAAATTTATATTTGACCAATTTGATTTTAAATAGACAGATGACTATAAAAAATAAATTTAAATGTGTTAGGCCTATGTTATTATACAGTATTTACTATGGTTTTTGTAATTTATATATTTTTATTTTTGTACTATTTGTTAAACTTATATATAATAAATAATTTAAATAATTTAACAAAATAGTACAAATAAGTTAATTGAAATACGCCGCAATTAACGCACTACATTCACTTAGACGCGCTTGGCGTTTCATAGAAATGACCGGCGGATCAGCTTGTCGGCGGCTCAACCGGTCCCCTTTCGATTTGTGCGGCGACGCTAGAACGGAATCACTCATGTGTGACCTTAACGCTCTCGCATGCGCAAATGACTTTTAGTGACGTCATTACGTTCTACGTCCTACCTTCGTCGTGCAATCGAAAGCTCCCTATTATTATTACTAACAACAGCAGCAGCAACAGAAACGTCAGAAGGGCAGACTACTAGTGTTTTTTAATGGCTTAGATTTTAGCTCGCTACCCACAGTAAAAGACTGGCTTCATAATAAAAATTCAATTTATAGTAAATATTATTTGGACAATTACTACAATGAAGAAAACACTAATACCATAGAGTTATATTGTGAGATAGCACTTCCGTTCAATCTCTATCCCTATCCTGAATTGGTTTTCTCCATTGTTGTGTTTTAATACACTTCCTATCATGCATATAATTTGTATAGAAATAATAATCAAAGGGAATTTGCTACTGGACTGCAGTTGATGTGTGTCTTGTTTATTTAATTGCCATTTTGTAGTCTGCTATTGCAAACAGTCTTGAAAGGTAGGCCTATGTATTTTTACCCAGTCAGCAGTAGCTGACTGAGTTCTGTTTCTTAGCAGTTTCTTCTTTACCCAGTCAGCAGCAGCTGACTGGGTTCTGTTTTTTTAGCAGTTTCTTTCTTTCTTTCTTCCTTCCTTCCTTCCTTCCTTCCTTCCTTCCTTCCTTCCTTCCTTCCTTCCTTCCTTCCTTCTTTCTTGCAACATTTTAAAAGGCCACTAGTGGCAAACTACTGGACCGATTTTATTAAAACTTGGTCAGTAGGACCGGTGCCATCTCCCATTTATGTGTTGTTCAAAACTTGGGGTCAAAGGTCACAAGGGGCATTAGGGTCAAAAAACCAAAAATCGTATAAAAGACTACTTGTCTCACAAATAACGTAGCACAGTCTTGTCCTTTGCACATATACATTGGCATAAGGCAGACTCTATAGGGTGTTCAGGGATAAGGGGTCAAAGGTCATTAAGGGGTAATTTTTATCTTTTTTCTGGCAACATTTCAAAACGCTACTAGTGCCAAACGGTTGTACCGATTTCAACCAAACCTGGTCTGTATAATCAGTGACACATCTCAGACATGGGGGTGTTCGCTGCTTGGGGTCAAAGGTCACATAGGGTCATTAGTGTAAACAACTTTCAAAAAATGAATAAAAGACTTGTCACAAATAACATAGCACAGTCTTGTCCTGGGTACATATGTATTGGCATAAGGTAGTGTCTTTATGGTGTTCAGCGATTTATGGTCAAAGGTCATTAAAGGGTTATTCTTTTGTTCTCTCTAGTAACATTTCAAAATGCTACTAATGGCAAACCATTGGACCAAATCCAATCAAATTTTGTCATTAAGAACCGGCGACACCTCCTACACCCCAGTCTGGGATCAGGGGTCACATAGGGGTCATCGGGGTTAAATTTTCAAAATAGCCCAATTGAGCTCAAATTTACCAGGAATGATCTTTAGGACCTTCTAAACACAAAAAAAAAACTCTTTACCCCATATGTCAAAGTTCATAGGTCAAAGGTTCAAAATGTTACTAATGGCAAACGATTGAACCGAATTCAATCAAATTTGACCATTAAGAACCAGTGACACCTGCTACGGTTCATCGGGGTCAAATTTTCAAAATAGCCCAATTGAGCTCGAATTTACCAGGAATGATCCTTAGGACCTTCTAAACATGAAAAACTACTCTTCATCTATAGGTAAAAATTCACAAGGGTCACTATAGTGAAAATTATCAAGTATTTCTAGTGACTAGTGATTGGATCAATTGCATTAGACAGACTTCTACCAAACATGGGGTGTTCACATGTTGAGTTTAAAGGTCACAGTGGTTATCTCTTAAAAAATGACTGGGTTCATGTTCTATTGAACATAGTATCTCTAGTTCTTTCTTTCTGGCAACATTTTAAAAGGCTACTAGTGGCAAATGGGCTAAATATTTGGAGTTTGCAGATTATAAAAGTGTTGATGTTATCTTTCTTGATTTTTCATCAGCATTTGATAAAGTTCCACATAATCGGTTAATCAGTAAACTTCAAAATAGTGGTATAAATGGAAATATTAAACTATGGATAAGTGATTTTTTTATCACAGAGGAAGCAGCGAGTTGTGTATAGGGGAGCACAATCCGAGTGGGTTAATGTGAAATCTGGAGTGCCCCAAGGATCCGTTTTGGGTCCACTTTTATTTTTAATTTATGTGAGTGATATTAATCATGGTATTTCTTCTGATATTATACAATATGCTGATGATCATACTCTTTCCCGGCCAATTAAAGATAAAGATGATTCTAAAGCTCTACAAAATGACTTAAATAAGTTGTATGAATGGTCAATTGTTAATAAACTCCCTTTAAACATATCAAAATGCGCAATAATGCGTATATCAAGATGTAAAAATGTACAATCATATGATTATACCATTGATTCCAAATGTATTGTAAATGTAAATAACTTTAAGTTTCTTGGAGTTGTTATTAATTCTAAACTTACATGTCACACTCAAGTAAATTATGTATGTACTAAAGCTAGTAGAATTCTTGGTTTTGTTATCAGGTGTAGCAAAAATATGTCTTAGGAAGCAATGCTTAACCTGTATAAAGCATTTGTATTGCCTATTGTAACTTACTGCTGTGCAATGTGGTCACCTGGTGATAAACATAACACTAACAAAATTGAGAGTCTACAAAGAAGAGCTACTAGAATTATTATGTTTAGAAAAGAAGGTAATTGGGAAACATCCTATCACTATAGGCTAAAATCTTTAAACATTCTTACTATAGAAGATAGTTTTTAAATTACAAAAATTAACTTTAGGCTATAAAATTATCAACGGCTTTTGCCCATCTTCCTTTGATCAATATGTTAATTTTAGTGAAAGGTGTAAGGGTAGACTGATCCATTGGAATGCAAAAGGTAATATCTTTCTAAATTCTGCATTTGTTGCATTTCCAAGACTATGGGAAGAAATTCCTGTGGATATTCAACAATCAACATCAATGGAAGTTTCAGATCAGCCCTTACAAAACACTTCCTTTCAATGTATTAGTTGATTGTTATGGATCAATAATATCCTCTTTTTAGCTTTTTGTTTTTCCCTCCTTTACATTTTCTTTGTTTATTTCTGTTGTTTGTTACTGTTTTTGCAGTTGATTGGTTAAAGGTAATTTTTTGTTGTTGTTGTTGTTGAATTGTTGTTGTTAATTTGATGTTTTTAATTTGAGCTGTTAATTTGTAGTTAAGATGTTGGATAAGAGTGCAAGTTTTTCTTGTTCGGGTTTATGCCCATACTCTTTCCTGGCAATACTGTAACATGTCTTTTTGATGCCAAATAAATATTATTATTATTACTGGACCGATTTAATTAAAATTTGGTAAGTGGGCCCGGTGCCACCTCCTATTTCCTAATATCTCTAGTTCATTCTATATTTTATAC